CATAGTTCATGTATCATATGCATGTTTTGGTCTCTGTCACATCCTTAGATCAGCTTTCTCAGACAGGAAAGTGAAAAAGGAGACAACCCTCACTCAAGCAATCAGCTCTAAGCCCAAAGTGTCAAATGGTGACCCACATGACTCTTTCTTACACACATGCTAAATGATGAGGAAGAGAAGCATGTTATGGTCTGATTTGTTCACTGCATTTGACCATTGATTCTTTCTGGTGGGACAAACAGCATGGTGTGTTAATAATTATGAAAGAGAAAATTTAGATGCCCCAGTTTTAAAGGTAGCTTTAGCAACTTGAATTGTATTACATTTTTTACATAATGTACATTTCATTCTGACTGTGGGACACTACTACAACTATGTACAATAAGTATTTTTCAACGAGAATATACTTACAATAGTCTCTCCCCTTGGCATAACTTTGACCAGTAAGATTTGCTGGAGGAGAACAGACAAACCAATGACAAGGGGCCTCAAGCATATAATTATTAATTAGTCAGGAAGTTGCAGAACTCAAAAGGTTTCTCTCTTTTCACAATTTGAAAAGTAATTGACATTCACTTTTAGTCTATTCAAAATATAGTGGTTTCTTGTAAACATTGTATTTTCTTGTGCCATTTTCCCTTTTGTGCCAATAACAGGAAAATAGAATGTGATGCAGGTGTCAAGGTTGATGTAATTAACTCTAAACCACAGACTTTTAAGCAAATAACTATCATCAATTGTCAATTTAAATTTCACAACTATACAGTATGCTACTCTGAATTTACCGAACCCACTAATGTGTTCATACCCAGTGTAAACCAAGCAGCATACAAACAGTTTGTTTTTAATATTGAATTGACCTCTAATGTCAGGTTTTGTCACAGCGGCGGAGCAGACAATGAGTAAAGTGCACGACTTCACATTCCACAGAGGAGGATTAGGGCCACAATGAACAGCACCAGCCTGAAAGCAGGGCGCCCTGTCTGGGTCTCTCTGCAGCAGAATTGCCCTTGGATTTGACGCAAGTGGAAAGTTACCATCCATTTGTGAACAATGTGAACTTGAGACATGATTCTATGTAAGAGTAGAAGTAAAGAGTCCTTCTACCTCAGACAAAGCCATCTATCTGAGGTGTCCATCTGCCACTTAGTCCGCTGCACCTGTCCTGCACCTCTGGCATTGATATTTGATATGCTCTATATTAGTTATTTTACTCTGCTTGCATCAGATCTGTACATAGACAATGTTATTTATACTATATTTTTACCATTTTATTTTATACTACTAAGGAATTAGTCTAACCCACACCGGCTTTACAAAATAGACTTTCTATAATTCCTCCCGACAATATTCAAACATAGTTTTTAGAGCAAATATTTCAAGCTTGGTTTACATATACCAAAAACCTATAATTACATCTCAAAATTAAAAACAATAATTACTAATAATTAACCTTTTACTGACAGTACACAGACAACAGGGTTTTAGCCACATGGTTCTCGATCCATTACTCCAAACTCAGTATTTTAGTCATTAAAGGAGCAATATGTAAAAATCTGGCCAAAAGTGGTACTGCAGTCACAGTCAATATTTGTAGTCCTCTCCCACTCTCCCTGACTCAGGTTGCCAGATTCACACCAAATCCAGCAGCAAACACAGGGAATTATTTTATCAGTTGTTTGTCCGTCTCCATTCACATTGCCATGACAGCCGTGCTAATGCTGAATGAATGTTTTGATTAATGTTTTTTTATTATTATTATTTGGACATTTGAGATAAAAAACAAAAACAAAATAAAAGCAATGTAATTATACATAGTTTATGCAAAATAAATAAGCAATTGATGTCCAAAATAGGAGTGGGAAGAATGGATGTTGGAACGTATTTCTTCAGTGTATCAACATCAGGGTTTGCTCAAGAGGATATCACCTTTCAATTCTATTTATTCCCTATTTTTTAGACAAACATGTAAAAGTCCCACATCAAAAAGAGACTAACATTATTTGAATTGGGGTACATGTGGTCTTAAATGATTATTTTTACAATTAAGCTATAATCTGCAAAAAAAACGTCTTGACCTTCATCTTTTACCGTTTTTAGAGCAATCTGTCATAGAATGTGATAACATGCAATAAATACAAAAAGACATAGCCCGGGATCGAACCCGGGTTCCTGCATCATAAGCGCACAGTTTAGACCGCTAGGCCACCGGTTCACACGAACAGAGGCACTGTGAAGAACGGACTGAAACTAGAAAATTCTGCATCACACGTGAACTTTTATCAGCTGTCTCAATTGTTCAAAGGCATCCCGATATAAATCCTCGTTTTAGTCTTTCTTTTGTCATTAATGATTTGAGAGTCATAACAAGACCTTTTTTAGTTCTGCGCCACATGTTATTTTACCACTGAGATTAATGAGCCGCACGGAGTTCTGGCAACCCGATCACGGACTTACATGACACTTCCTGATTGGCGAAACGGCGGAGGGTAGGACATCAAAATCAAAACAATAACAACTTTTACGGGTCGTAAAACTAATTTTGATAATCAAATATCTCGGCTGAACTACTGTTATCAGTTAAAGATGAATTCGAAAAGAGTATGATTTAATAACGCCTTTTGAAATATTCGGGTCATTCAATGATGACTTGACACGCAAATATTACATATTGCTCCTTTAACACTGAAAATATATTATTTTTTGGCTTTATCTTCAAACATGACTACTTTCTAATTATATTTGGTTGTTCTTTCTACACAATGCATTGTATTTCAATATTAGTCAAGAGTTTGGTAGAAAAAAAGGTTAGTACTTTAGTTAGTGTTTTAATCTCCTAATCTTTAATCTGTGTCTGTATATTTTCCACATTTTATTCCTTTGCAAAACATTAACAAACCCAAAACATTTCCTTGAGAGCGTCAATAAAGACCACATTGAAAACGTATTTATTTATTGATTTGAAGACTTTTAAACCAGCCCTTATCTGGTCATTACAGTTTACATCGTGGTTTATCACTCACAGAAAATGTAGATGTATCTTTTCTATAGCCACAATATTGTGATGTAATGTTAGAACTGCAGAAACTATTATTATGAACGGTTGATATGCAAAACAGAAGCCAGCTAATTCTTCACAACAGAAAACAAATTGACAATCACATTTTTCTTCAGCCCCTTATTAGACTTCAAACATTTACATTGTAGAGGCAATTTCTTTACATCAAACCGACTCTTCACGTATTCAAGCATTTTAACACAACTTTCCGTATAAAGGCAACACAATAAATACGAACGAATGGCACAAAAGGTTCAGACAATCTAAAACGATGCAAGAATCTGTGAAATTTACAGAAAATGTAGTAAACTTTTTCAGCAGAGTAACACAGGCTGACATAAAGCTGCACTACGCAACAATTGGAGGAAGCTCCCTCACCGTTTGTTACCATGGAGACGTTATTGCATGGGGAATGTTTTTCAAATGCATTTATGAGAAGCAACAGCAGTAATTTTATAAATGCAACACTGTAGGTGTGGGCAACATGAACATAAATGGATATATTTTTTGGGAGAGTTTGTCAATACATTCCAACTATATGTGGTTGAAATCTTTAAAAATCAATATGCTGTGGTTTAAAGGTTGTCAAAAGTGAAATGACCGCAAAACTGAGTGCATACAACTTTACTTTGATTTTTTTAAGCGTTGCAACAATGTTATCCAATTAGCATTTTAAAACATGTACTTGCACATCATTACCCATTGACCCAGGTCTTAGCGAGAAAATCCAGAGAAACTGTATCCCCATGGTGACAAGTTACATAGAGCACCTTATGTAATTAGAATCAATCATTTCAAAAATCACAATTTACAGCGAGATGAATCTTGAATGTTATAATTCAATATAGTATTTCTATTTACAAGAATGTACATAACTGGGGAACTGAGAAGAGGTTTTGTTAGTGTCTGTGGTCAGAGCTGAACAATCAGATTAGATAAAGCACTGAAAACATTGTAAACGTCCTCTTTTAACACGAGCAAATCTGTCAAACTGGGTTTAAGTGACATTCTTCAGAGGCAAGACTTTATTTATGAGGTGGAGGGCAGGGCTGCATTTAGATTTAATAACCTGGTATTTCTGCAATCACTGGTTCTGAATCTCACCATTATGTATTCTATAGAAGCCATTTTGAATCTTAGTTTGAACAAGTAAAATTTTAATATAATGGCTTAGGGCAAGGAATTGAAAAATTACGTGTCATGCTGTAAACGAGGACAGTGCGTATTCGTGAGCACAATGAATTATAAATATGTTGGATTTTACCATCTATCATTGTGAGCCCTCAAGTAATAATGAAATCAGTTGAATAGTCTTGGTGTATACTTAGCTGGCAGAGAAAGCCTGGGTTGTGTGGTAGGGAAGTCTGAGCATCCATAGATGAATGATTTTTGCATTATCACCATGAATCATTAAACCTTTTCAGGCCTGTCACAGTAATTGTTAATTGCCTTTCCCTGCCTTCCACCAAATTTTCTATTTCAGCACGCAGTGAACAAAACCCGTTCTTTAGTCCAAAACCTGTTCTATGTTTATTATAAGGCATTGGTTTCAAGCCTGGACAGCAGCTCTGCAGCTGTCCCTCTTGGCTTGTAGGTCAACCTGACTGCAATTAACAAAGGCTTTTAACAAGGTGTAAAAAGTTGCTTACTTTAAAATGCTCTTATCTAATAATAGTGTACAGTTTGCAAGAAAAGTCAGTTTGGAAGTGCTTTGTTAAATGTTTCTCTCAGGCTGCTCCCCAAGTAAAACATTATCAGATTTACAGTTATAAAATAGTTTCCACGCCAAGTGCAAAGATCATGACCCAATATACATACCGTAGACCCAGAATGATGTGTATTTACTTCTATGCCTCATATTTGCATTTTTAAAAGTCACATTTGTTTTGCTGCTTTTACTTCTTAGGAATTCTCTCCGCTGTACACATTAGCGCAATTACACTTATAAAATCTCTTCCACGCCGAGTGCAAAAATCATCACCAGCCCAGGCTCCAGGATCATGTCTTCGCCCATGTGCTGGTTCTCGCAGGCCATCACCACCACGGCCTGCTTACCAGGAATGCGCTTGGCCACATAGTTCTCGTAGTAGCGCCTGTTCATTTGCCGTGTCTCCAGCGTGGCCAGTCCCTGAGGCCAGTTTCGCTCGTGTGCGTTTTCAATGAGGTCGTTGACGATGGACAGTGGGCAGCCGCTGTCGATGAGCGAGCGCTTGATGACCGCCTGCAACACAGCGTCTGGAGTGGAGATCATACCGCCCCAGCGCGTCACCCGGGCTGGCTGCATGGAGTTCACCCACCTGTAACAACACCACGGTTAGGGCGGCGGCCTTAAACTACACAGGAGACGGACAGACCAAAGACTTATTAGGGAATGAGATATCTACTAAACAATTATTAATAAATAGAAACTTGGATGCTTTTAGTTCATTACAGACAAAACACGAAAATAAGGGCTAAAGCTCGAATTCACAGTTATGAATTGTAGACTTATGTCAACATCTTTAGTGTTTCCTCAATGGATGTGCATCACCTGATTGTGAAACTTATTACCAAAGTCATGATTCAGCATTTTTGTGTTAAATCAGCTCCATTCTCAGCTTGCAGAATCATTTCCCCATTCAACAGATAGTGATGATGCATTTACACCTTAAACATTATTTAATAACTTAACAATTTTGTCTGTCTGAAACACCAGCAGACAAAAAGTCGAAGGCACAATGGTTTAGAAAACACAGATTTCAGCGCTTTCCTTCTTCAGGGAGCATGACTACATAGGTGTAGGCTCAGCTTTGAAGCAAGAAGATTCCACCTTTGTGATTAGGATGCTTGAATAAATATTTATAGAGATAGAACTAAATGAAGCCCTTGTGGAGAGATGCCGTCTACAATTTCATGCACATCATTCATAAAATGCAATAGATACCAACGGTGCACCATTTGATAAAGAATAAAGTGGTAAAAAATAAACTTTACTACTAATGCAGTAGTAAATACAGTTGTAAACAGTGAGAATACACAAATTAAACACACCAATAGGTCTCCCTCACGATTCTCCAATGTCCAGAATGTCTCTCTGCAGGAGGTGTTCCAGGTGCTCATGTAACACTTCTATCTTTGATTTTGAAAAATGTTAAACATGCAATTGAAACTTAAGAGGACATCATCTATTTGTGCCTCTGTCACTGTATGAATATTCATTGAAGTATTTGCTCCACCCTTTCAAAAGCCGAACCTCTCTGTGTATTCATGCTCTCTAAAGAAGATCAGAGCTGAACCTCTTTGGTGCATTTTCTTTTATTCAAAAGCCATGTCTAAAAAAGGCTTTTTAACTTTATCTGTCGGAGTGCCTTGACGTTTTTTCTAATTGTGTTCGAAGCAGACAAATAGTATTTGCAACAAGGAATTCACCCAGAATCTGACTGGTTAGAACTTCACACTTTTATATCCATGCAGCGCCCCCAATACTTCTCTGTAACTTATCAGCATTTAATAATATTAGTAAGTGCAAACTTACTCCAAAATCTCATTGTACTCGATGCTCTCCTCCAGGTTCTGCAAGTTTGGGTTGGCACTGCGGATCGCCCTCATGTAGGCCTTTAATAGTTGAATGTCCCGTTTCTGACAGACAATACAGTGTTACAATTGAATAAACACAAGAGTCAATGAATCTTACAATAATGAAAAGAAAGTTGGAGAAAGTTTAACAATTAGGTGAGAGGGGGGGTAATAATCAACAAATACAGTAAAGTACAGTAGCAGTAGTGCAAACAAGGCATAGCGTATTGTATTATCTTCAATAATTGTATTGTTAAAATGCAGGCTGTCAATCTCTACAAGAAGGGGGACCGGAGGGTGTGTTCCAATTATCGTGGGATCACACTCCTCACCCTCAGCGGTAAGGTCTACTCCAAGGTACTGGAGAGTAGACCGAGAATCTCGGATTCAGGAGGAGCAGTGTGGTTTTCGTTCCGGCCGCGGAACACTGGACCAGCGCTATACTCTCAATCGGATACTCGAGGGTTCATGGGAGTTCGCCCAACCGGTCCACATGTGCTTTGTGGATCTGGGGTCCTCTGCTGAGGGCCATCCGGTCCCTGTATGACCGTAGCCAGAGCTGCTTTCGCATTGCCGGCAGTAAGTCAGACCTGTTCCCGGTGCATCTTGACCTCCACCAAGGCTGCCCTTTGTCACCGGTTCTGTTCATTGTATTCATGGACCGAATTTCTAGGCGCAGCTGGGGGCCGGAGGGGGTCCGGTTCGGGGACCACAGGATTTCATCTCTGCTGATGTTGTCCTGTTGGCTCCAACGAACCAGGACCTGCAACATGCACTGGGACGGTTTGCAGTAGAGTGAGTGTGAAGCAGCCTGGATGAGAATCAGCACCTCCAAATCTGAGGCCATGGTGCTCTTTGATCGGTCAAAGCGCGGCCGAGCCCCTCTTTGCACGGCCATGAGAGCCACACATGCGTATTTGGCGCATCAAGGGAGCTTGTCCACTGCGCAGAACCGGGAGGACCAGACGTTGCCCAAAGATGTTCGAGTTCCGCTAATCTCTCGGTCCCCGTGTATGTCCCATGTGCTACTGAGCACAAGTCATTCATTTGAATAGGGCGCCATCTTGGAACACCGGGGCTTGGTTCAGACCTACTGGTTTCCACACATCTCATCCATTAGCAGCTGCCTCTACTGCAGGATCTCAGCTTCTCATCTCATTTTCACTGCAATGTTGATAAATGAGGCCCAGCGTTTGTCAGGATAAAAAGAACGTTTTTTGTAAGATAAACAATAGGGTTGGCAGGTTTAATGCTTTATGCCGACTGGATATTTTTATTTCCATGCAAGTCTATCCATTGTGGGACGAATAAAAGATATTTTATCTTATTGTATAAATTTAGATTTAATTTACCACTGACGTCTACCACCAAAACATGCAAGGGACTGTCAATACTTCATTGTTAGCAATTTGTCTAATTAGAATGGAATGTTAAGTTTCTATAGGTGAATAATTTATAATTATTGCATTTTGTGATTATTTGTTATTTCTTTATCAGTTTTGGTAGCATGTGTAAACCTTTTCACATCTGTCACTCCAAAAGAATCAAAACATCCTAAAAACAATTCAATTTCAATCTAGTTGGACTGGAAACACGATTCAATGGTTTTATGATCTTACTTGCTCTCCCAGCTGGTGTTTATGTTCTGCCACCGTTTTCTCCAGCTCGGAAATCTTGGTCTGTTGTTGCTGCACCACACTCCTTAAGTGTTTGATACAGTTATGATTGGAGACTTCGTCTTTGGGCATTTCAAGACTGAGGACAAATATAAATAAACAACATTTGGTTGTAGATTAAGATCGCAAGGATAGAACTTTCAATCAGTAACGTTGGCATACCCATATGAAAAAAAACAAAAAACCAAGTAATTCAGATTATTCCCTAAAAGATAAAATATTCCTCTAATGTGTATTTTATCCAGTGATACAATAAGGTTTGAAAATGTGGTCTTGTAAAATGGTTCAATTTAGATAATACTGGTTTACATGGTCATTTAGTGGAGCAATTTTCCATTTCCTCATAGTGACCTGGGAAAAAGTCTGAACTTGAAGTAAAACAGTGGTTTCTTCACGTTACAGCAACTACATGTCATGCGAGTACATAGCCCCAGGTCAGTCAGCTCACCCACAGCCCTCCTCGCAGGTGACGGGCCGTTTGGGGTTGTGCTCGCAGTCTTTGAGGTGAGACTGCAGCTGGTCCAGGCGCAGTGTGGCCGTGCAGCCAAAAGTGGCATTTTCACAGTTTATCTGGAGTTTGGAGAGCATGTTCCTCATAATCCGGGGTACGGGCCGCAGGTGAGCCAGGGTCACGACTGTACGATCCACAGGACAAATCTGCTGCTGTGCGAACCACTGAGTGATGCAGGCGTTACAGAAGGCATGTTCACAGTGTGGAGCCTGGAACAGACACATTCAGCTGGATTCAAACATGGAGCAACATCTGCGCGATCTAAAGGGCCCACATTGAAAACAGAGTGCCTTCAGGTTTGACTGTTAAAGTGAATGGCAGTTTTCACATTGGGTGTCAGAGATTTTCAAAAGGAAATGAGGAAATAACAATAAGAAAATAACCAGTTAGACCGGAGGAGCTCAGACGTGATCAAAACCTGATCCAGCAACCATGAGCTGTACGTTATCTAGCTCGTGTGTGTGAAGGAGTAAGGATTCAGATTATCACATTTGGTTAGATTCACGATGCATGTGTGCTTCATGGTACAGTAATGACCAAGATATCTTTATTCACATTTGGTTGGCAGAAAATCAAATTACTAATAGGCTGAAATAATTAGTACATTTATTAGTCGTGCTTGAAAATGTACACTGTCCACGTGTAAAAAGATTTTTGTTCATATTTAAGTCCTTCAGACATTATGAATAATAAATCAAAACAGTTTATTTGTTTATTAACCATTTATTGTAAAAGAAAAGTGGTTTCTATTCTCAAATTATGACTAGGATATTTTTATTTGAAAATAGAAAACTCATTTATTTCACAAGATTATGGTTTAACACAATTACCAAAAATGCAGAGAAATAGGGTTGGTGTTAACATTAAAGATCTCCAAAGTAAGGCCAACAATAGCCAAATAGGAACAAAGCATCAACATTTAGAGTCTGAATACCATTTTTGAAAAGGGACAGGAGTTGAAAATTAGCATTAACTACACACTCTGTATGTGTTGCATCAGTGCATATTTCATGCTGACTACATTGTCCATGTCAAAAGAACAAATAAATGAATATATAAATTATTAATTAAAATATTTTACATGGCAGAGCAGCCATTGGTTTATTTTAATACTTCTAATAGTTAACGAACAATCAACATTTTATGGGCAGTAGATGCTTATACATAACTGCTTTGATATTGACAGAAATGCATCACTTAATAAATTAAGCATAGAGACCATGACTACACTTCAAATGTGACACGTATTAACATAGTGATGGACAGTATCCATTTCACTTGCTGTAATGCCTAGAACACCCTCTAAACATCTAATACAAATATAACTTTGGTTTCTCATCAAAAACAACATACCTTTATTTTGGCTTCATTAGAAATCCTTAGAAACCCTTCAAACAATCTAAGCCAGATCTGTGTCTGAAAAACCGTAAGTCTTTAGAAGATTACGTGTGGTTAAAATTGTTCCAACTACAACTGCCAGTTCTACTTTCGCTTTTGCCATATTTTACACACACTTGTTGCCTGTAGATGGCGGTGGCAAACATGTGAGAAGCAGCTGATGTTCCTTTGTCATCAGTTCATGAAATCCATACAAAAATGTACTCATATTCAAGGAGCTAAAATAGCCAAAGTAATGCAATGCGTCAAATCTCAAAGCAAAATATTTATTACTACTGTATTGGGAGAAGAAGCAAGTCAGGGTGAATCATAGGAGTAATGTCACCTTGCCAGCAAGCTGAATTCTCGTGGTATTTGTGAGTTCACAAACACTCAAGAATACATCTTGCCCCGCTCCCGCCAACCCTTTTCGAGTAGAACATCTAGGTGTTCAAGCCAATCACGCGCCAGTCTGGGGGTTTAGGGCGGGATATCCGGGTTTGACGAAAGCAAGAAGTGCCGGGCTGAAGCAAAACAAACATGGCTACGCAGGAGGACGGACGCGTAGCTGAGGCTATCAAGTCAGTTTTAGCAGAATCTCCAATTTCTTTTTTGAAAGATGAACAGCGAGAGGCGCTTTGTGCATTTCTGGACGGCGATGACGACATAATGTTACCGGGATTGGTTTAAAGAGATTGTCCGGAGTTTGTCAGAAAGAGAGACAGAGAGGTACTTGATTTGAAAAAAACGACGCAAGCTCCCCCCACCTTCCTTTCTGATTGGTCTACACTTACGTTTCCGTAACACTTTGAAATGTTAATCAGAGAACACATTATACATATACATTATTAATACACATGCACGGAGGTTTTCAGAATTATTTGTGAACGTTTTAATGAAAAAAATAATGTTTTTATGCACAAAAAAAGCGATCGCAGCAAACCAGGAAGTGCTATTATTATGAATTGCACATTATAGGACACATCTGCAGGGGATCTAATTATGGATATAGCTTCAGTATATAAATAAGACTCAGCGCGGATGTTCAGAATTCTTTGTTCAGTTTTCATGTAGTTCCAGAGCCTAATGGAGGCTTGATTCGGAGGCTCCGCGAAAACAAACAACTGCGCATGCGCGCAGCTACGAGCATCAGCGCCGATGATTGACAGCCCTTGGCATGACTCGATTGGTTAACGTGGACGGCACCGTGGATTCTGAGCTATAGCTAAGAGCAGGGAAGGCGGGACTTGCCCGTAATATTAGAATTAATAAAATGACTTATTTTATATCAACATTTAAGGCCAGGAGGTCAATTTAACACATTTCCTAAAATGTGTAATTCATTTAGAGTTACAGACTATCACTTTAAGTCAAACCTTGGTAGGCGGGCACACAGCGTCACTTCGCCCAATCAGCTTGAAGTATTCTGCTGCTCATCCCTCCTTTCCCCAAAAGGATTCTCCTGCAGAAGTCCCAGATTGATATTGTGGAGAACGCATTAGAGTTCTACACAATCATCAATCTGGCTCTTGCCAGGTTAGGAGTAATGAAACGGTTTAGCAAAATCCATTATTGTAAATGGACAGATTTTTGGGGTTTTAAACTTGAAATACTTATTTCATGGCAGTAACAATTAACACAAAAAATAACAGTGTCTCTTGTCTCAGTAGAGTGTCTCATGTCACCTGAACTGGTTCCTCAAGGACCCCACTACAGATCGGGCACAGAAGGTCTTCATCCACCTCCCCTGTGAATCTGGTGACGTCATACCCCATGGTACATTCCTGGGACCCCCAAACTCCTGAGGACACAGAAACAAATAAAAATGTATATCTTACGCATGTTTTGACAATATAGATTTACTTCCCAAATTACCTCAGTCACTGATGTTTTCTGAAAGTCCCATTCAGCAACAGCAAGTCATGAGTGGCAAGCAAATGACATCCTTCCAAATGAAGAGGGAACTTCTGTAGAACACAATACAGAAGTGTGGATACTAGTATTCTAGTGTCTGCATGGCACACATCAAAGTGAGTTGCCAAATTAGTTGGCAAAGATATATTGACTAATAAATAAAATGTAATTCAAGCAAAGATAGGTCTTCAAAGCAAATTAAACACTTGTGGTTGGAATTCTCACATATATATATATATATATATATATATATATATATATAAAATCAGTTTTAGATCCCCCAATAATGTATTGTGTTTTTTAAATATAATATTGTAAATTTAGTTAATATTAAATTAAAAAGTGAATATTGTGATTACTGACAATGTATGTACTGGGCTTCTGCCTTAGCATTGCTTTACAGCATCATGAATGACCATGATTGTTTAAGAGGACATGTTCGAGGGTTTCAGAGGCTCAGCCTCGGATCCTATTTCAGTGGATGCAGCCAGCACGGGTCTGGATGGAACAGAGAGGTCATTTCCCTGGGCTCAACGTGTCCAGCCAACAAGCTAACAGCCTCATGCTAAATAATGTAACACTAGAGGCGGTTTACGCAAAGCGGGAATAAACATTAGACATTTTAGACAGTCATAAGGGACGTGTCACGCCATAAACTGTGGATAAGACTAAAAGACACAGACACGGTGACTTTGGTTTCGTGGTAGTTTCAGATCGTGCAGAATTTAAGGTTAGCATCTCGCAATTATCGTTACTACTGGACCACTGGCAGAGTTAGCATGAGAGCTAACCAGAGAAAAAAACATCACCTCCGGATTTTTACGCCCAGTGTACAATCATAACGAATAGCTGCAGGTAAATAAAACCATGTCGAGTGGAAACTTACAGAAACATTTGGTACATAAATCCTGGCTGTAGTTTTACAGTACGATATCGGTTTTCCCTTGTACTTCTGGGTTAGCCACGTAGCTGGGCTACATCCTACAGTGCGTCACTCGTGATGGGGGCGACGGAGCTCCGTGCGTAATGACGTAGGCAAATTACTACATAGTTCCCACAGACCAATGAATGTCACATGACCTCCTCGGAGACGCCATCTTTGATGGCACGCTGCTGTGTTTGTGCATTCCATTAAACAGAAGAATGAGAATAAATGTAGATATTCAAACGCAAATTGGAAAAAAAGGGCAACTTTTGAGCAAATAATTGTATATTAATACAATGGCACCACAGTTTAACGTGCTACGGACATGTTTTACATATTTGATCAAATTATGCAGCAAAAATTAACAAGCAATGCAAACATTTCTCAAAAACTTTAGATTTAATACCAGTTGGAGCTCCATTTAATTATTTTAATTATATTAACAATTAATTTAATTAATGCTAATGCCACACGGACACTCTGGATTGCTGTTATTGTTTATTTCCGCGTTTTTGACCGTATGTTTTGGTGAATGGTGGGCAACTGATTTTTCCAGGCGTAAAGAGCAGTTTATTTTATGACACAGATCTTTTTACAGAAGCAATGCTGTTTGTGAACATTGTTTTAGCCCACCATAGAACTATTATTATCTATTTAATACATTTACGTTGCCCTCGAGAGCCTCGGACGCGACACTGATCCTCCTCATAATAAAGTAATCTAACGCTAAATAATGAAACTCTCAAGTTACCAGATATCAGCATACACAAGTTAGTACTGAGTAAATTACGTCTGTCAACACATTATAAGATACGATACGCACCTGACACAAAGTGCTCCGAGCATATTCTTGCGTGTTTTGAGGGAGTTTCTTGCCTGTTTATCTTCGCAAGCCATAACCTCCGTGGTTGTTCTGACAAAAGCTTAGTCTTCTCACATTCATGAAGTCTAATGATGGGTATACTGTAAAATCCAAGTTTAACGGAACCTCCGGCACGATTTGAACATCCATTGACCCAGCAGGAGATGACCATTTTCAACTTTATCACGACATTAACACGTTTCAGCTTCTTTTTCTATTGTTTTGCCCACAGAATGCCAACACAAATGGCGCCGGGTCGGCAAATCCCCGTATGTAGTGACGTCATGTGGGAACTATGTATATAGTTATAGCGCGTGTTCTCCGTGAAAAAGGCTCCGTCTTCCTCTTTACGCATTCAAATATGATGGGAACAGTGGGAGGAAGCTAGAAGTCCGACACATCGCCTGAAACCTGAGATTATTGGCTACAAGATGATTTGATTGACATCCAAATCGGCCAATGGTACTCAAGACAATGCTGTCGTGACGCACAGATATCTATATGACTGGAGCGCTAAAGCTAGGTGCGCTTGTTTTACTCAACTTACTCTACCTTCCAAACCATAGCACTGAAAAGTCCGGGAATGGGCTTGTTTTGAAGGGGGGGCTTAGGGGAAGACGAACATACCCAGTGACGCTAGCTAAACAGTAAAATGTCCTCTTCATACAGTGCGCAAAGAACAGGTTTTGTTTTTGTTTGTGCAACTTTCAATGCTCAAAGATGTTGTTGCAAGTGGATATCTACTATAAGGATGACTTTGAAGAAAAAACAACTGGATATAATTATTCTCTAGACCCTAACAAACAAAATGAATGCACACATGTGTGGATTAGACGTGATTTGCCCCAGAATATTAGCATGACAAGGTAAGAAAGGACAATATATATTTTAAATATATATACAGTTTGACTACTTATTCTTACTTTTGGTTATATTTAATGTTTATTTGAACATAATGCGTGTATAGAGGTGGGAATAAGCTTTCAAAAGAGATATAGCTTGACTATATTGACACAAGTGAATTCTAATACTGATGCTGTTAAATGAAAAATAACTGAATCCTCCCTGTACAGGGAGGGTGATCCTTAAGAGGTTAAAGTAAATGTTCACAGTTAAAACACTGGCTCATTGGGGTCGGCCCGATGTTCCCCGGGTCCGGTGTTCCCCGGGTCCGGTGTTCCCCGCCCCGGGGAACATCGGACCTTCCAAACGCCGGAGGGTCCGGTGTTCCCCGACTGCGGGCCTCGCTCATAGACATGTTATTGCTGCGCGCGGATAATGGAGCAACAAGCGGCTTTCGCTCATAACTAGTCTATTTTGGGTAGGCCTGCAGATTAGTAAGTAGGCCAAATTCGCTTGCAAACTACAAGGGCTAACTGGAATTGGGGTTTCAAAGAATATGGTTCAAACGCACACACGCACGCACACGCACTCACGCGCGCACATACACACAAGCTCATTTATGAAACTTGCGTTGAAAAAGATGTACATTTTGGGTGTATATTCCATTTACGCAATTTGCCAAAATGTTTTGATACATTAGAAAAATCCTTCTTGAATTGTAGAAGTGAATAAATATAGATTGATTGAATGAATTAATTAATTAATATATATTATGCAGCGGTGGCTCTGAATGAAGCGTCTGCAGCGTCTTGGACGCAGCCTGGCTCGGGGTAGAAGTGCGCATTGAAGCGCTGTACACTTCAGAGAGCGTTTGCGGTCCAGATTTCACAAAGAAACTCTGGAGCCAAAACTTCTGCACATGTGGCGCGACTCTGGACAGGGCAGTGAGACGTTTGAGTGAGCAATACCATCGATGCGTTATTGGGGTGTGTGTCTGTGTGAGGCTTACACAAATCTAATGAAATAACACATTGCTTTACCAGATGTGAATGAGGAATACAAATAGCCGTGCGTAATTACGCAGCGCAGAGCCTGCCACAGCAATAGATGGGTCACACATCCCTGTTGCGTATGTGTATTTATATAGAGCCTTTGACTGTCCAGGATCACAAAGCGCTTCACATTTTAAAAACATACAGATCAAAATAATACACACACAAGTCAGATTTAATAGAGGGTCCTCATCATGAGCTGTGATTTATTCGAAGTTTGCGTGTTTCCATTAGACTTTTTCTGATGCGCAAATTCAAATTTTGAAACATGATCCTCAATGAAAACACAGCTTATAATGTTTCCAGATGGAATATGTTTATTGTTGTACATATCTTGAATTTCATGCGTGTTTTGGCGTGTTGTGCCGAAGGTTGAGATCAGCGTATAGATTTACACCACCTCCAGACCTGGCGTTTATTTTTTGCGTATTGTACGCTCACGTCCAGATTGATAAATGCGGAAAAGTGTAATATTTTGCGTACGCCTCATTTACCCTGATTTGGCCGTACGCAGGTTTCATACATGAGGCCCACAGTGAGGCCTACAGTGAGGCCCACAGTGTGTCTCACACAGGCCTAGAGTTTACCTCATCAGTGCGAGGCGAGCCTGGCCTGACCGCGCTCTCCTCCTCTGGGACCTACGGGCCCGGGCCTCTGGCTCCTCTACCTCACAAAGTTCACGCTGAACTTTCTTAAAATTAAAATGAAAAAGGCTGCTCTGTTGTGAATGCTTTGAGAGCGTTGTCAATCTTTAAGACGAGGAATAGCTGGTTGTTCTCGCTTCACGCTGTGTAATATGATATTGGACAAAATTGTTCAGCCAATAAACAGGACTATATTTGAAGCAACGTAGGAACGTGATGACGCTCAGGGGGTTATATTATTATTATTCCCCCCACTGTAGGAGCCAATACACTTTTCAATATTTTTGAATTCTGAGCGTTTCCAATTGTATTTAAAAATGGGAAACCTAATTAAACAATCATGAATTGAGCTTTTCCGATCTTATTTTACACTGATTCCTTTGATCATTTTTTTCTTAAAGCTCAAGTTGTAAAAATGCTATGTTTGAATTGGTTATTTACATTTTAACTGTGAGTGACACGTAAGGCGGGACAACAATGCACAATGACGCACGCATTCTGAATAGAATAATATGTATTAATATCTCTAAAACTAAAAGAGCATATTCAAGTTTTACAACAAAAACGACGTCATATGCGTGTCCATTATGCGTAAAAGCACAGTGCCCTCAGCAAAACCACGTATTTGGAAAAACTATAGGCTAACAGATGTAGTAGCTCTAGTTTCAATCGTCCTCATTTTATTCAGTCAGACTTGTCAAATATAGATGCCCATGGGAGAGTGAGCAAGGGGAGATAACATGCCCATAACATGCCCAAAAATATCCTGCATAGACTCAAGCTGCGATCAGCTGAAATATGAGCACACAAAGAGCGAGAGGGAAAAAGAAAAGTAAATAGGCTTAGGCTAGTTAGTATTTTTTCTCTCACAAAAGTTGGCACGGATCATATGCCATCTTTCGTGGAGGAGGAAACATCAAACATCAAAGCGCGCACGCGGGGAACAGCGGGACTAGTCTCGTTGTTGAAGTCCCGATGTTCCCCCACTTCTGTTGGCGGGGGAACATCGGACCTGGGGAACATCGGGACTTTTTAATACGCGAAGTACCGATGTTCCCCGGGTCCGATGTTCCCCCGCCTATAGAAGTGGGGGAACATCGGACCCGGGGAACATCGGACCCGGGGAACATCGGTACGCACCCGGCTCATTGATAATCAAACCTGTCAGCACTGACTCCGCCTGCTCTCGCTGCCCCCTGCTGGCCGCCTGCTCTGTGCGCGCCTGTATGTGTTCTGTGTCTGTCTCCATGTGATTGTGTATTGTTGTTTGTTGAACGACCTGTGACTGAATGTTTTACTGTCTTGTCCTTGTAAATATTGTAAATATCTCACATTATTTTAACTGTGTAGCAAACATGTTTTTATCTTTTCAGGAGACATGGTGTTAGCATTAGATAGCAATATGACCTACGTGCAGGACTGTACAAGGACTCTGATTATTTTGACTATGATGTGACTTTCTCTGTGTGACACGTATGTCTTTCCATGTGTGACGTGACAATGACTATATAAACTGTGTACTGCCTTCATTCTGTCTGAGAGAAAGAAGCAAAGGAAACCACTGGAAC